GATGCCTTATCCATTAGGCCACTGGGCCTGTCTGTGAAGGGCACACAATAACCTCTTTTTCTTCTTTGGCAAGATGGAGTACCTTGCTTTTAAACAGATTTTATTTTGCATTTGGGAATGTCACATTTACTATTTGGGAATGATTTCACACATATTTCACAAATATTTCAGCTAGATCTAGACTTTTAATTTTTTTAATTATTTGTCAATTAATAAAATATTTCCTGAGTTACAAACTTGGATAGGTTTATTTAGAAAATTAAGAAAAAAAATCAACCGATGTTATTTACGTTCGAGACACACACAAAATAGAAAACGGATTTCGATCACTTAGCCATACATAACGTTGTTCATTCTTGACACACTTGATGTTTTAAGCACACTTCCTAAAACTTTATCAGTAGTAAGTAGTAACTGTTGAAGTTGAACATAAGTTGAACATTGGGTATGTGCTCATATTTGTGATGCCCTACAACTTGTTTACCTTTTATATTTAATTACACGTAATAGCATTTTCATTTATTTCTTCTACATTCACAAAGGCAGCGAAAACAATCATTTACAAATTGATAAATTTTTCTTAAAAAAAGAACAGTTGTATTTTTAGAAGTACTTTATTACTAACATTTATGATGTAAAATAAAATGTAAAGTAACATTTATTACCTTATTTGTTTGTGTGGAATAATGAGCCTGCCAACCTGCTTGCAGTGTTTACAGTGCTTTGTTTTTTTGCCTTTGCATGTGATGAAACAGTTACTAAAATAAATTTGGAAAATAATGTTTGCGTATTCTCTAGCCATGATACTATCATGAGCATTATGCCTTTTATTTCAAACGTGTTCCACAGATATTATATACAGTATACATGTATTTATGTTTAGGATCAGATATGGTAAGAATATTTTTTTCTAAAATTCTAAAGCTTTTCTTATTCATTCAAGTTCTGTACTTTGGTGTGTATCTCAACATTTGTCTAGAAATTGTAAGACAAGATGTACATCACACTTGTGGCAGCTGTAAAACATATGAAATATAATTTAACAAATGTAACATTCTCACCAGGTACGTGTGCAGGTTTTTGTGTGTGCTGTGTTTTCTTCAGTTTGCACAGTACTTTACGATGTTCTTCCTAAAATGACAAAATCTGATCCAAATTTCATGTCTCCGAAAAGAGCTTCTCTTTTTTTTCAGGCGCTGAATATGGTCACTAGATACTGTTGAATGATGCGTTCAAGAAAAGTGAAATGGATAACCAGTCATTAAATAGGAAGAGGGAAGTCAGCCCAAGAACAGAAAAGGTTAGAAACAAGAACAGGCCTTTTGACCCATTTCTTATAGATGGCATCTCATCTGGCATTCGTTTGAAGATTCACAGGAAATCAGGCTTGGTTCCTGGTTCCAGTCGCCTTGCATGTAAAGTGTCTCCTGTTCTCTGTGCAAACTGTGCTTCCTCATAATTCAGTACAATGCAGTAATCCACCAGCATCACGTTGTCCATTTTCATTAGGGTTTGGAATCCTTGTATCAAGTCCCCCATTGCAGACGAAATCCAGTTCCTTTTGCCCGTCTGCACATCTTCTTCCCATAGACACATGCCAGTGTTGTGCTTCCAGCAAAATGTTGTCCAAGATAAAGACAGCAGTGTACAGGAAAAGCAATGTCTTCATGGCATGGACCACTTACTAAGGCATGTCAAAGTAAATCCACGTTTCTGACTAAACAGTAGTTACAGGTGTGTCGGGCTGGTTAGAAGACATTCTAGGTGCACTGTTGTAAGAGCTGAAGGTCTGACTTCTAATTCTCTCCTGTACATTTACCTTACAAACCATAGAGGCTAAATATTGTCTGAATTTGACACCAACAAAGACATAAAACAAAGGATTTAGACAACAATGTAGATAAGCAATATTATGACAAACGTAGAACGCATAATTGAGTGCTTGTTCAGCAGCGCACTGTGTCAGGGGTGAAATGTTAAGTTCTCGCAAAGTAGAAAGGAACAAAGTTACATTATACGGAGCCCAGCAAAGAAAGAATCCTGTAATGAGAGTAAATATCAGTTTGACGGCTTTCTGCTTTTTTCTTATTCTGCTGCTCAAAATCGTTTGTATCATCCTGGTGTAGCAATACACAATCACAACAAATGGTAATAAAAAGAAAAGGCTAATTTGTATGTAAACGCCTACCAAGTCAACAGTAATTGAAATGAAAACTGAGCGACACAAAATACCATTTTCACTTTCTGCTGTTTCAGTAAAAATACTTTCTGGCAGAGATGCACCAATACATATTGTCCAGATAATGCCGCTCGCTACTGTAGCACGGAATGTTCTCCTTGATAATGATACTGTTGTAGCATGGACCACTATCAAGTAGCGATCAACTGTCATTAGCATTAGAAACATCATACAGCTGTAAAACCCAATGAAGAAAACGCCAGTCAATAACTGGCACATAAATGTTCCAAAGACCCAGTGATGAACATGGTAGACAGCCCAAAATGGAAGAGAAAATGAAAAGATCAAGTCAGAGACAGCCAGGTTTAAAATGAAAATGTTTGTCACCTTTTTCAGGTTCTCATACTTTATCAAAGTGCATAAAACTAAAGTGTTTCCAATTAGGCTGAAGCAAAATATCAAGAGGTAACACACCGAAGAAAATGTCCCTCCAAATTCTGGTGAATAGTCCTCACATAATAACACCAATCCTCCATCATCACTGTAGTCTTCGTAATAATCCTCGGAAACGTTCCCAGTCATACTCCAAGGCAGCTCTGTGACAGTGTAGGAAATCGTAGAATAATTCGCCATGATCCCTATGACTCAACAACAGGCAAAAGTCTCTTAAGGAAAAATGAAAAAAAAAAGTGCAACCATCTTTTTAAAGAATTTTTTAAAAAGATAAGTAAGATTACTTTGTCACCATACTGTTCTTTGTGGATTCCCTTTTGGAATAAAACGTCTTATAATTGAAGTCAGCATTTAGGAAATGCAGTGTAAGGTCACATTTGAGTCAGCGTGGATATTAAACGTTTTCAAACAAGGAAATGCTCTGTTGCAATTCCTCATTTCGGGCAGCATTATGTATTTGAAAACTCTGCATTTTCGCAACTCTTCTTGCAGTATGTGTCTCTTGTATAGTCTTTTATAACCAGAATTTCAGAACATTTTCGATGAGGTGTGGCTGGAAGAAATCACAGGGATTCCTAAATTTTATTCGGTTTAAACAGGACTTTTTTCACAAATCTGACAAGGTGTCCCTCAGTGCTGTCTGAGACTTTTTAAATGAAAGCGCTATGTCCAAAAAGAAGGCTAATCTGATGAAGGAACCTTCAGTCCTCAATGATATTCCACTAGAATATGGAATAAAAATCCAAATATAGAAAAATTCAGTATAGAGTTGTATAAGATGAGGTTGACGTTTTCTTTGTTCGATTCCTAATTTTAATAAGCAGCACAAAAAAATAACACCTGACATAAAATATTGCAGGAAACTGCCACCATAGTCTACACCTCCTTTTGTTATCTATGCCCATTGAACATGAGATTTATTTTACGTTTGGAAATAAATCTTTTTATATTTATGGCTACAAAAAAACAAAATAGCCACACACCATGGGCAAGATGATGTGTTTGCTTGGGAAGTGCAGGTTTCTGTTGCTTAAAAAGCTGTCAATCTCGCCAATTATTTATGTTTTTGATATTTTGCACAACCTCAAGCCTCACCTGGAGAAGACTTGCAAATGGATAGAATTTGATATGAATAAAAAGTAACATCTGAGGAGAACAGCCAGGAAGAAGACATCAGAGATTACTGTAGATAAAGGGATTAATAATCCATGTCCCACGGTATTTGGTCATTAGTTTAGGCTTTCTTTTGATAATGCAGCAAATGTAATAATTTGGCACTTAGTGTCTATATGCCTTTTCCTTTAAAGATCAAAATGTACAAGACTATTTCAAAATATTCTGCGCATTTTTAAAGGACTCATCACAAACTATTGCTGTCGCAGCAATATTTTTAGAATAATACAGAACTTCTTGCATCTTGACACTTTTCATGCACAAAGATACTAAAGCAGGTCAGGCTGTGAACTGAGAAATTACTCCACCGATTGAATTTATAGGATCTTTAACCTTGGTGAATGGTGTACATTCTCTTCTTCACTTTTTGGTACAAGACTAAGGGACTGGGACTGAGAAGAGCAGAAGTAACTCATTCAGTTTTCTTGTTAGTCTCTCCTCTGCACTGCCTCTTTATATCACGTGTGTATTTGTCATAATAGAAATGAACAAGGCTCGACTGCCAAATCTGTTACTGTTAAAATTGTGCTTTTCAGCAGCATGGCATTAACCTCTGGTTGTTCCTTTGCCATACATATGTTTCACTTTGTTTGCTTTCAGACATTCATTGTCAAAACACTTAAAAAATCCCTTGTTTTAATTTTTATCAACATAAACATCACACTCAGTTCTTTATTTTTACAGTATATTGTTCAAAGTGCAAACAAACAATAAAGAAAATGCTATCATATAATTCTCTTATTGGTTAAAGTGGTAAAGTCAGAGCAAAACATAAAGTACACTCAACTTCATTTTTAATGCGAACAGAAGAGTATACAACCAAACTCTATAAATCATTTTAAACAACAAATTCTAAACTTGTAATTCTGCTACACCCTTTTGTCTTCCATGTTTTACACTGAACAAAATGTTTATATGCACTAATTGTTAATATTATTGTTGTGGTAATACAGTAACTATTTAAAACAACAATCTAGACTTTACTATCAATAGAATACAATACTATTGGACAGATTAAATCCTGAAAAAAAGATGGAACATTTTTAATGATGTATACTTTTTTTTTAAGTAGTCTCTTAGTGTACAGTAAATCATTGGACTCTACTGCAAAAATATTCTGTACCATCAGGATGGCTAAAAATCTGAATGGGTAAAAACAGCAGAACTGTTCAGGAAATGCTGGTAAAATGCTGTCAGATAACAGGGTATATGTTTATACTGCAGATGCAAATGAAAGGAAAACATACTAAATGTGAGATAGGGAACTTTCACCATAAAAATACGTCACACGTACAAACGGACTTTTTACGAAGACAGAAAGTATTAAAAAACAAAGACCGAAAGTATTTTAAGGTTCTCCAATTCTCACTTAGAAAGTGTCTATAGAAATTTTAAAAATCGCAGTCCAGTGCATGTTGTGTGACAGGAAAAAAAAAGTCTCTTTTTGAAGTCTATTCACCAAACAATAGACTTTAAATGCATCCCGTAAAACTTAAAATCCTTTTATTGGCCAGTCTCAGCTGTAGTTTTCACGGTTTTGTTTTCTACAGTTTGTCTATTTCTTCTCGAGCCGCCTCTCCATTCTGAAAGATGTTTGATGTGTTGTGATAGCTGCGCACAGGGACGGAGCTCCTCTCCCTTGTCTGCTGAGGAGAGTTGCACACTAGTCTCCTCAGGTGAGCTCGGTACTTCGCCGTACAGACGTAGAGCAGAGGGTTCAGGCAGCAGTGGAAGTACGCAAGATTACGGCACACGTTAAACGCGAGGTTCAGTTTGGCACGCCTGTCACAGTCCCCCGAGGGGTTCAGATCGTTGAGTGACATGAGAAACATGACAAGGTTGTAGGGAGCCCAGCATATAAAGAACGCCACAACAATGCCGAATATAATCTTTACTGCATTATACTTTGCCCTCGCCTTGCAGGTTATAACAGTCTTCAAGATGCTACAATAACAGAATACAATAATGAAAAATGGAAGTAGAAAGAGAAACACAATTTGTAGACAGTAACCCACTAGGTCTGGGGTGATTCCGGTTTGTACTTCCTCACAGATGAAGATATCTTTATCTTGGGTCAGTACTGTATCGGAGTTGACCATTTCCTTTATGGAAGCAGCAATAGCGATTGTCCAGATGACGGCACTTGATGACCAAGCACAGAGGGTCCTCTTTCTCAGAGTAATTGATACGCTATGAACCACTGTTAAATATCGGTCAACACTCATCACCGTGAGGAATATCAAGGAACTGTACACACCTATGAAATAAACACCGCTAATAAGTTTGCACATAAAGCTTCCAAAAATCCAGTGATAAGAGTGGTACACTGCCCAGAAAGGCAACGAGGAAGCAAATACCAGATCAGAAATAGCCAAGTTGAGAATGAAAATGTTTGTAACCTTTTTCATGTCTTCGTACTTTGCTAGGACACAGAGAACTAAAACATTCCCGGTCAGACTGAGAACAAAGACAAGGCTGAACACAACTGAAGTTAAAGTGGTGTTATCTGAAGATGCATCGTCATCACAAAGAAATATTAAAGGGTCGTCCTCGTCCCCATAGTATTCAGTAGAGGTATACAAAGGAACCTCGGTGCTAAGACTGTCATTTGTGAAACCTTCTGACATGTTCATTCTGGAACTTCTGAAAATGAAAAAAAAAACAGAATTCTAAACCACAATTAGGTATATTATTTACACAATTCAACAAACATACTTATATAATGCATAACTTACCTTTTTTCTTTTCGTTTCGAATGTAGGTGAGTATTTAAAGATTATCCACGTACAGTATAGTCACATTAACTGAAGCACATTTAGGGAAACCAAAACTTGTGTAAACTTATTTCAATTCAAAGAAAGAGGAAGGCTGTTTTTTCTTCCTGGATATCTTCTTTACTTAATTACAGCAGGCGAACCAAGCTCTGTCAGCACATTTCATCAATGGCCTTTGGCCAGTGTGCATTTCCCTGTTAATATTGTATTGCCTTTCATAAGATTTAAAGATTCTGAACAAAAGCAGGCCACTGTGCCCATCATTGATGATATCCAGCAAATTGACACACACAACTTTGATCGTTAAATAATTCAAAATCACCTCATTGCTTTATTCTATATTATTCTAAAATAATCATAAATAAATCACCTAAAATAATCTCTTTTATATAAAATGACATTAGACTTAAATTACTGTACATCATTTGGATCCTATTTGGATGAATCTTTCACTTTCCTGGGACTATTTTGCAGACAGACCTCAGCTCATATCGCACGTCTTTCTTCACTCAGTTGGAGATGTATTGCCCTCTCAGCATACCACATGGCTAGAGATCTAAAATCTCTCTGTCTCAAAATCCTTTAGTTGTTTCTGAGTC